TCTGATGTTATCTTGGAGTTAATCTGTATTGTTTACTTCATAGTTGTTCTGATGTTATCTTGGAGTTAATCTGTATTGTTTACTTCATAGTTCTGATGTTATCTTGGAGTTAATCTGTATTGTTTACTTCATAGTTGTTCTGATGTTATCTTGGAGTTAATCTGTATTGTTTACTTCATAGTTGTTCTGATGTTATCTTGGAGTTAATCTATGCTCCTCTGGGTGCTAATTGCTGGTGGGGAAGCAATCAGCACCCAGAGGATCATAGATTAACTCCAAGATTAACACCAGACCAACAAGGGAATTAAAAATACCCCTGTCAAGAAACTGCCAAACAAGCCGATAGGAAACAGCCCAACTAAAGAACCTCTAAGACCAGCCCTTACCAACACTGACAAGGCAAGCCACAGGAATATAAACTGAAAGCAAACTCCTTACCTGCGGATGTTACCTAGTTTGGGTAATGAGATATCTGCATGAAGACAAACAAACTCACAGAGAGCCCCCAGGAGCCCCCAAAATGTAATCTGCATTGCTGTAGGCTCTCATTCCATGGAAAAATATAGACTGGTAGAATCTCAACTAGAGGATTAATGATTTCCCATCCCCATTTTCATTATAATCTGCCTTTATTGCTATATTTAATGGGATTGTATTATGCATTTATAGTAGGAAAAGGAATGCTCTAAGCAGCTTGAAAACAATCCTGTGTTGAGAAGCTGAGGACATTTTTTGGTATAAAGGCTTTTAGCAATAAATAAATCAACTTAATTGAATCTTCACATGTAGAATTATGCACCTGACACCTCACCTTGTGTTTGTGCAAAACCTTCAAAATATTCTCACCATGTCATCTTTATTTACACTTCATTGTATTTTTCCACTATTATATATAATTACGTTGAACAGGTAGTCTATAATTATATATATGGTTGTGGCAAAATTCTCTAGTGAAACATGTTGCATTTGTGATGTTCCTCATCTGATGTCCTTTATCTGCGCTCTAGACTCAGTGAGATGGAAGCAAGTGAAGTTTGCTGCACATTCATCTATTTTGGGGGTTACAGTAACTCCAAGAATATTTAGCACAAGGGATATTATGGCTTCTGAGCAGAGCAAACAACCTTTCCAAATATATCGAGCTAGGAGTACACCATAAGGGAAAGGGAAAAATATAATTTACCTGTCGCATCAGCCTTGTAATTATGCCCTCAAAAATTAATAACCTGGTACAAAAACAAAAAAAGTGGCAGACAGAAAAGGAGAATTCTACCTGATGTCCCCCAGTTGTTTTAGACTTTATGACCCAGACAAAGAATTGTAGAAATGGTAGTGTGAGATATGTAGAAGGCACCAGATTTCTTATCTCTCCTGTGGGAAATCCTTTCTTGTAAAAAATGTTCATTATGGACAAGCCCATTTAATCCTATACTCTTGGAGTTTGGCATTCTACCATAACAACGTAAGGGCAATCAAGAGGAAGTATTTAAAGTATTTGTATCCAGCGAACGTGTTACTTTCATGAAGCAAAGCAACATTTTTAAGGGACTCAAATGCTTTCACTTCTTAACTTTTTCATTTTTTAAAGTAACACATTAGTTTTGAAAAAACCACAACTTGCTTATTATTCTCAATGTTTTCAGATGTAAATTTTCTTCTGGAAATATTTTCAAACTATTTTTTTTAATAACAAGATTTTCTTTTTTAAATTTAGAAAGTAAAATGTCTTCATGGCCCAAAGTAACCCCAGATCAAGCACAAACACCCGATCCTGAAAAAAGGTAAAAACACAAAGATTCATAATATTTCCTCTGGTTGTTTTTTTTTTTAATCTCAATCCCTCTCTCTGTGTGTCTCTCCCTCCCTCCCCCCTCTCTCTCTCTTAAATTTATATATTTACAATATATACATTTCAGCTCAGAAGTTTAACTCTTAAATCTTCATTTAAAAATTGCAACCTATACTTGATGGCTACAAACTAAATACTGTACATGGATCTTTGCATTTAGTAATGTAACACATAATCTGACTTAAACCATTGAAAATTCTGTGTGAAATTTAGCATTTTACATTTGAATTGTTATCCTGGTTTCCTCCTTTAGTATGGTTAGTGGCTACATTTGCTGCTAATGGCATGCTCATTCACAGCTAACCCTAACATTATCTGTGTGCTTATGTGTTACATATTTGCTCTTTGTTTTTCGGTTCATGTGAATAAATACATAAACCAGAAATTGTGCATCACATCTAAACCTATCCTCTTAGTTTACTTGCTTGCTTGTTTGTTTGTTTATTCATTCAATTTGTATGGCTGCCAATCTCAACAAATTATTCTGGGCTTGCTGTTCCCAAGCAAGCTGGTATTTCTAATTTGGTACCAACACTTGGCTTACACTTTTGTTTTTCAATCCGGATTCCAGTTCAGATGAATCAAGAGTTATCAAAGAATTGTGTTGCTGTGTTGTGTCCCACTCTTCATGACCCTATGGATTATAGCACTCCAGGCAGTGGTGGGATTCAAATAAGTTAACAACAGGTTCTCTGTCCTAATGACCAGCTGGGTAGGCGGGGCTCGATGGTCATGTGACCGTGTGGGTATGGCTGCCTTAACATCACTCAGGTCAATGGGCGCTTCACCTTAGCTGCTACGATGTAATAAGGGTAACTGGAGAGGCAGTTTCTGTAAGCAGGGCAATAAAGATGAGGCTAGAAACAACACCAGAATCCTGCCTTACAGGATTAGCCCTGTAAAGTGGGGAAAAACAAAATGAGATTTCTTCCAACAACCAGTTCTCTGAACTACTTAGAAAGTTAACAACCGGTTCTCCGAAATAGGTGCGAACNGTAGGTATAAAAAGGTTGACTACCCCTGGGGTAAAGAATTCAGACTCTACGTAGCTCCACAAAAGTGTCTGGCTGTAATAAGCTCAATCTTGGGTTTCGTGCTTGCACCTTGGCATTTACACCCTTCAGATCTCGCTCAAGGGTTTAATGTGCTGCGTCTCGTATTCATATAGTTAATCAGTGCAACCGAATTCAGTTTTTATCTGCGCCTAAGAAATAGTTAACAGTAAATGAGGCAAGACCAGACAGCTGTTGTCCTTATGCTGCCTTTGCTCCTTGACGGATTTTTCCAGACTCTACATCTGCCAGCCAGTTTGAAGCAGGGGTGGGTGGGTGTTGTGTGTGTTTTGTTTTAATTGGTTTCTCTCTCCGTATCTGGGTGGGTCCAAAGCCAGCAACTTAAGTAAAGAAATGTTTAGAATAATTAGATTGTTTAGCTGATCCGAAAGGAGGGAAAATTTGGCAGAACAAAAACCTCCGTTATCTGTTGTATGGCTTTGAGATTTAAAAAATACTGCTCGGCATTGGGTTTAAAGGAATTAAATCACGCTGCAATTTTCATCATCGCTCCAGCTTATTTTTCTTTTTTTCTTTTAATGCTCTAAGTCCTTTATTAAGCCTTTGCAAGTTTAGCCTGTCCATTTTTGTTTGATCCGATGTCACCAAACTCCAAATGGGTGGTTCACTATATATCAAAACAATATTTTAAAAAAACCATGTAGCCAAAACAAAGAAGAGCAAAACCAGCCTCATACGAAGAAAAGAAGAACATACGGCAAAGTCAGCAACCCTCCAAAAAATCTCACCAGCAACTGACCTCCCACCATGGAGCACTCAATTGGTCCCTGCGCACTTACGTGTATAACAACTGTGGCCATTTCTTGATCGGGAGACTCTGTTCATAGTCACTGATGCCTTGGTCATCACCCATTTGAGCCATTCCACTGGGTTCTATCTGGGTCTGTCCTTAAAGACCACTCAGAAATGGTAGCTGGTCCATCAACTGGCAGCATGAGATCTTACAGGTGTACCTCACGATGCCCAGGTTCAGTCTGTCTTAAACCTTTTTAAGATACAGTTCACATTCAGAGAAAAATCAGTACTTTTAACAATGATGTTGACTACTTTTAACTTTAGTATAAATTAATTATTTTTTGTCTTTTGGGGTGCAGGCAGAGACCGGGGTGGATTCCTCGACTTCTGGAGTAAGTAATTATATTAACATTTCTACGGTTGATTGAAAGCCAGATCTGCCCATAACAGCATAATAAGGTTCTTGGGTGGGTCAGTAGATGGATGGATACAGACAGAGAGACAGAAGGGATAGATGGATGAATGGATAGATAGAGACAGACAGACAGATGGANGATAGATAGATAGATGATAGATAGATAGATGATAGATAGATAGATGATAGATATGACAGATGTTTTCTTTGTAATATATCTACCACTTCACGCCATGCCCTTGTCCCCCATTTGTCATATTTCTTCTGTTAGCATGGCCTGTAATAACAAAGAGTTCTTCCATGCAGTGATGTTGGATGCTCCCAGGTCATCCCAGTTCTCTAGGGATTTGCTGAAATTGGAATGCTGGGATCTTTGTTAATTCTGAATTGACGACGATGACATAGAGCTGTTTCGGATGTCTCCCATCAATGTTGCGCCCGATAACAGATGTTTCAGATCTTCTTCCACAGGGTCTAAAAGTGGATTCCAAACCTCCCATGTCTTGGCATTATATAGTTCAAAAGTTGTTTATGCTCAAATTCTTTTGGCAATCCTTAACACTCATTCCTTGCTCCTTCTAGCATAAATCCTTACAAATCCATTCAGAAGAGTTCTTACTCTCCCCCAGATGGTTATCCGAAGGATCATGAGGATGGTAACAGGTGAGAAGGATTTTTTCCCCCTTCCAAGCTTGCTTTGGTTATAACCTGAAGCAAAGGGACAGGACGAATAATAACGGATGGAATCAAATAATTATGTATTTATTCTGCACTCCTGAAATAATGCAGCTCCACGACTTTTTTTTTTTAATGTAAGCCAGTTCTTAGCATTTGTTCAACTTGAGGTTTGTGATATTTTGCTTAAGAGTTTACACTAGTTCTTGTGTGTTTTTGGCTTAAAGCTTTGAGGAACTTTTTGGGCAGCAGTATCACCCATCAGCAGAGAATGAAGATAATTATGAGAGGCACCAGTACCCTCAGAAAGGTGAGAGTTACTTGAAATCAAAGCTACACTAAGAATGTGCTTGCTCCTCCAAATTCCTTTCGCTTCAGTTTTGCATTGCAGTCCCATTGGGTTCTCTTGACGGTTAAAGAAATATCAGAAGTATTTGCTTCCAAGTGGAGTTTTCTTTAGTAAAGTTTTATTGACACAAATGGGGTAGAGCTACAAGAACTGCAGCCACTGAACATTTTTCTGTTTAGTACCAATTTATCCCAAACACATCGTGACCCGACAAAAGGGCGAACGACAAAACCGCGCCCGACTAAACCGCGTCGCTAAAACCGCGACGTCATCAACACGCCGACAACAGCGCGGAGACAGAAGGGCGCTTTACAATAGCGCGGAGACAGAAAGCTGATTTAACTTAAGGTAAGGGTTAGGGTTAGGGTTAGCGTTACGTTTAGGGTTAGGTTAAGGGTTAGGTGTAGGGTTACTTTTAGGGTTAGGTTTAGGGTTAGGTTTAGGGTTAGGTTTAGTTTTACAGCGCGCTTCTGTCGCTGCGCT